GGGGTTTGCCGAGCCGCGGGCTGAGAGAGGAGCGAGCTGAGGCCGGGGCCGGGGATAGCGGAGTTCCCGCTCCGTGGAAACAGACGGTGGAGGTGCCGAGGGTCGCCCGTCGATGGGGCATGAGGGGGTCCCGCGTGTGGACGCGCCGGACCGGGCTGGGAGGGGCCCGGACCTTCTCGAGGGGAGGGAAAAGGTGCCAGGTAGCGCAGCCCCGGAGCTGGTTGTTACTGCTGCTGTCATTTTGGTTCACGGAAGGGCATGATAGGACACTGGGAAACGCAGGCGAAAAAGGCGCAGGCGGTGAGGGAACTGCGCTGTGGCTGGTACCTGATTTCCTGATTTGCAAACATAGGTCCTATTCCTCCTGATGCTCCTTTTGAAAAATCCTGAGCACCCATCGCAGGCATAAACCCCATAGTGTTTCCCGGAGCTGCGGTCCCCACACACTTTGCAAGGGATATCTAAAATGCGACCTGAAAGCAGAGGGGAGAGAGAGGGAGAGAGCGAGCGCTTAGCAATCTGACCTCCGGAGGGATTAGCCCCAGAGCGGCAGTACAAGCAAATAATGAAGTGATTTTATAGCCAACTTTCTTTTCCTTGAGCAAGTGTCAGTGTTCCACAATGAGCATTATTCATGCACCGCTACATTCATTTGGATCTTCTATAATCGCCAAGACCCGTTTGGGAAGGGAAGATTACAGCAGCAGGAGCAGCAGACTTTGCTGCTGGAAGTGGGGATGCGGGGGGTTGGGGGGGGGGAGACGGCGACACTGCTCCCTCGCTCTCTGGCGCTCTGCAGAGGACACCACTTTCCGCGGGCAGGAGGGCAGTCAGGAGACCAGATCGCATAATAAAACACAGCACAACATAAAACAAAGCAAAACACAACACAACACAACACAACAAAGATAACCAGGAACCAAAGGAATCCCTTCTCCCCTCCCCCACCGCCACCCCTCCAAATCGGGGCTGGTTCCTGCCACAAACGAGGTATGCGATTTCATTCACCCCAGAACTACAGCAAAACTTTCCGTCTCGCCTTCGTGCAAGGATGAATTTGCGGGCTCATTAAGCCCGCTGGAAATGCGGGGTTCACGATCATACAGTGCAGGTTCGTTTTGCCCAAATCTCCTGCTCTGCGGAGTGTGGATTTTGTATCGACTTTGACTAGACTTGCAAATACTCTGAGAGTGGTGTAAAAACTTAAACAGAGCTTATTGCATCACGTTTCAAGAAACCCGCCAAAACCCCGTTCGACTTCTGGCTTTCTCTCTTCTCTTCTCTTCTCTTTTCTCTTCTCTTCTCTT